ACCCAGGGGCTTTTTCAGAAAAAGAGAGTCAAGGAAGGCTTCTCTGAGAAGGTGGCACACGAGCAGAAACTCAAAAACAGTAAAGGTGTCAGCCATTTCCAGGAGAAAATTGCCCCAGGCAAAGAGTGCAAAGGCCCTGAACCTGTGTTTAGCACTCATTGTTCAAGGAACTGCAAGGAAGCCAGCTTACCTGGACGGCAATGGGAAGGGGCAGAGGTAGGAGAGGAGGTCAGAGAGGGCACTGAATATAAGATCAAGCAAAACCCACGGGGATGGAGAAATGGGGGCCCACTGAAGGGCTGTGAGCCCAGTGATAGGCAAGGATTCATGACAAGAGAAACCTGAGGCTCAAAAGGCAGCCGCCTGCCAAGGCCACAGCAGCTCACATCATTTGGAGGGCAAAGCCAGGCTATCTCATCAGACCTTCGTCCCACCGGTTCAGCCCAGGAAATGCCCAACCCTGACCTTCCCCCTCTCCCAGAACCAGAGTCCAAATCTCCTCCACCCACCAGATCCCACTTCCATGCAGCAACCCCGGCCTCTCCTTCCTGCCCCAACTTGCCCCACCGCCACCTGCCACCACCCTCCCCAGGCTTCTGGCACAATCCAAGTGGGCAAGTGTCTTTGTTTGCAGCTGTTGCTATTGTGGGTTTCATGGCTAATGCGGTTTCTTCCTCTCTCCTCCTTCTTCCTGTCCCCCCTCCTTAAATCAGAGCTCCCCCCCCCCCCACCCCACTCCAGCATTGCCCTGGAAGGCTGGGTCCCATTGGCTTAGCAAGTCAAAGCCCAAACCCTACCGTCTTGCACAGCCATGAACCACGGCTGTGGGCGAGACTTCCATCCCTAGGCCACACTGAGGCCGGGCACAGAGAAGGGGCAGTGACACCCACGAAGTAATCACTCACTAGAAACAAGAAACCAAGTCAACTCCCCAGTCTTTATTTCTATATTCAAAATCTAAAACTCACCCTGTAGCAATGACAGTGTTTTTACTAGAAGTCACAGCCCTAACCAGAAAACAGGTCCGGGGGTTAGTTTCTGTCTCCCCAAGAAGCAGAGGGGCGAGAGGGCTAAGCTTAGGGGACAGCACAGGACCCAACCTCCCGGTCCCCATTCGGGTGGCCCAGCCTGGGACCAGCAGCTGCCTGAGTTCTCCCAGGACTCCCAGCAACACAGCCAATGGGCAGCCAGTGCTTTCTCCAGAACAGGGAGGCCTAACCAGACTCCACAGCCAGCTCGTCAGCGTGGCTCAGCCCAGAATGGCATGGGTTGTCATTATGGGCTGGCATTTCCCAATTACCGCAGATAATATCTACCTTAATTGAATGGGGTCCAGATAATGTCATTATGCACCGCGTTCCCCAATTTATTTAATATACGTGTGTACACATATATTTATGCCTCACTGCTGCCACGAGATTGCTAAACGGTGAGGTTAATAATAAAACATTTCGACGGGAGTCATCAGCTTTAATTTAGGGGGTGATTTTTACTATCCTTGTGGTGCTCGTTTTTCCAAGGAGCCAAGAGAAACATGGACAGGACGGTAGAGGCTCTCTCAGGCCTCCAGGCTAGGAGGCGGGGTGGGCAGGGCTGTGGGGTAGGCCCGTCTTTTCCGAGCCAGTTCTGCTGATACCCCTCCCTCTCAGAAGCAGGCTGGGGCGGGGGCGGGGGAGCAGGGAGGACCTGAGGCAGAAGTCAGAAGTCCAGGAGCTTGACTCGAGGACTGGCCGGGGTGGGGAGATGGGGGGGGGGGGGAGGGACGGAAGGAAGCTTGTGTCGAGTGTGCACAGTTACGAGCCTCCGGTTGGGCCCAGAGGCAGCGGGGGGGGGACACTGGGAGAGAGGCAGGGCAGAGAGGATGGACGGAGGCCGGAGACAGTGCACAGCCAAGAAAGAAACAGAGTTCCCAAGAGCCAGGGAAAAGGCAGCCTGCACTCTGCAAGGGCCAAAGGCAGTGAAATCTCTAAATTAATTTTTGATAGTCCCCTGCTAACTGGGGCACAGTTGACACGAAAACAAGCCCTACTTGCTCTCCCCAGGAGCCGGCACCAGGCTGGGTGGGAGCAACAGAACACTGGCGTCCTTGGCTCCAGGCCGGCTGCCCACCAAGGGAAGCCCCTCGGCCTCCTCCTCCCTCAGGTGGGCTCTTATGCCAGCCCCAGCGAGCAGAGCCAGAGTCCAGATGCCAGCTCCACCCCCCCCACCCCACACACACACACCTTCCCCGGGCAGCAAAGGCAGCTTCCACTCTGCAGAAGTGAGATAACCTTCCAGCCAGCAGCCAGCGGGCCCATCTGCCCAGGCTGCCAGCGGGGCCTGCCCACCGCAAAGTTAGGTTCTCGGCCGAGCAGGGGAGGACAGCAGGGTGGGCAGATGTCGTGGGGTGGGTGGTAATTAGGGGCTGCCGGCTCCACACTCGTCTAAGGGAGAGGATGCGTCTAACGGCTGTAATTATAAAGCTCAGAAACCCGTGGGTCCTGGTCCCATCCTTTCCTGCCAGCTGTCCCCCTGCAGCACGGTGGGTTCGGGTGTGGCCAAGCATCCTGGAAGCTGGCTGGGCTGGGGACCCTTCAGAGATTTTCTGGCCTGGGCCCATCCCCAACCCTGCCCGCCAGCACGCTCGCTCGCTCGCTCGCTCGCTCGCTCGCTCGCTGGCTCCCTGTGCTCTCACCTACCTCAGGATGCCTGCCTGCCGCTGTGCGAGGCGCTCCTCCTGGGGACGTCACGCCTCCAACAGAATGAAGCCGCCCAGACGCAGGGTGGGGGAGGAGGGATAAGGGAGGAAGACAGGAGCGGCCTACGCTAGGCCACTGAGGCCGAGAAAGCAGCTCGACTCCTGACGTGCTCCCGCCTCCCCTCCTCCCCCTCAGCCTGCTCGGGACCTGTTCTCGAAGCCATGCTGCGTGCCGCCCCCCCACCCCCCCCAAGCCATCCCAGACATCTCTCTCCGGAGAATCACCACCAGTAGAGCATTCTTTGGGATTAAGCACCGCCAACTCCCTCTCTGGGCCTCTCTTAAATGCAAATGTCTCAGGGAGGGGTAGCCCTTGGCGGTGACTACATCTCAGAGGGTTATAACTTTCTGGTCTTTTTGTCTCTGAGAGGTTGAAGGTGTTGACAGGTGGGGGAAAGTTTATGGCTAAAAGACAAAAAGTTGGAGGAAGGTGAAAACAGTGGTCACTTAATTCATTTGTGGGCAGGCATGCCCATCCAAGGCTAAGCAGAGGCTTGGGGGCACCAACCCAGACCAAGAGCCCCCCACTCCATGCCAAGGACAGGACTCTGACTCAAGGCTAGAGAGGCCCTCCCAGAAGTGGTCCTCTGGGGGCACCAGGGAGGGAGACCAGGGCTCTGACCCCCACTCTCCCCTGCAGACAGGACCTCTTCGGGGGCCCTCACCACTGGCCCCCAGAGCCTGCCCAGGAAAGGTGACCACACCCAGGAGCTTCTGTAGGAATTCTCTCTGCTACCTCAGGAAAGGTCACCAGGAAAGACCTCCGGGGGATCCTCACCTCTTCGTTGAACTTCTCTCCCACCCAGGCCCTGAGGCCTCTGGGGCGCTCAGGACGCAGACCCAGAGCCTGCGGCCCAGCTTTCCACATGGATCTCAGGGGGGACAGTGGGGCAGACCCAGCACACGTCCTGGGGGAGTGGGGAGATGGGAATTAGAACATCCTTCATTTCCACCATGAGCTGGCCCCAGGGATGTGAGGCTGAGGACCAGGCTGTGGAAAGGGGGTGTCCAGTATGGAGACTTAGAACACTGGCCGCCCTGCCTGCCCTGAGCCCCCACTGTCACCCCAGAATAGGGGACTACGATGGGAACACACACACAGTACTCCCACCCCCCACCCCGCCATCACGGAGAGCTTTCTGACAGATGACAAAGGTCAGAAAGACTAACCACGGCTCTAACAGACACGTGGATTCGGACCCCCCACTAGGCAAGCCCAGCCCAGTCCCGCAAAGCAGCTTTACCCGCACCCATGGGCAGGGATGGCGCTGAGAGGGGGTAAAGAGGCAAGGAGCCTCCTCTAAAAAGGACCTTAAGTCTGAAGGCAGGGGTGTCACTCGTGGCCTGGGGGCAGGGGGCGCTCGTACGTTCGGGCCTCAGGACTCCCTGCCGCCGCTACCGCCGCCCCATTTCAGCACAAACAGCCTCAGACCGCCCCTGTGCGGGGGCGCCACTCTCAGTCGGGGCCTCCACCTCCCAGCCCCGCCCCCGCGCGGGGAGGGGGCGCTTCCAGTTCCTGGGCGCCGGGGAAGCCCGACCCGGGAGGGGACCCCCCCAACACACACACACACACACACACACACACACACACACGGGGCCTGGCCACCCGCCCCCGCCGGGGGTTCACCGGGGTCTTGGAGAGGGTCGGTGGGGAGTATCCGAGGAGAACCTGACCCTGAGGTCCCGGGGCCGCGGGGAGACCCCAGACCCTGGAGCGCCGTCCCAACCCGCCGCGGCCGCGAGCGAGCGGGGACTCGGCCGGTGGCGAAGGTGGCGCCGGGGCGGCCAGGGGAGCGGGACGCGGTGCACGGGAAAGGAGCCGAGGCGCGCGAGGCTGGCGCTGCCCTCCCGCCGGGAGACGGCGGGGAAGAGGTGCAAATAACGCCCCGCGCCCCCGCCTGCCCTGCCCCTCCGCAGAGGAGGCGCGCTAATGCCGCCGCCCCCACCTGAGGGCTGGCACGACCCCCCCCCCATCCGGTAGAACCTGACAGAACACCCCTACACGGAGACACTTTCCCCCAGGCCCGCAAAAAAGCCGCTGCCCCGTTCCCTCCCTCGGGGGTCTTCGGGGAGACCCTCCAGCCTCGGTCCCGCGCCCTCTAGCCCTGAGGGCTCAGATCCCCCGGCCCTCCTCCGGGCAGCCCTGAGCGCGGGAGCTCGTCAGAGGCCACCTCCCCGAGCCCCGATGTCCCCGCCGCAGCCCGCGCCCCAGAGGCCGGAGGGCACGGTCCCCTCTGCCGGTTTCCCGCGGGCCACAACTCACCGCGCGCGGGCGAGGTCTGAGCCGCGGCGAGGGGTCGGTTGCGCTCCCGCCTGCCCCGGGGGCGCAGAGAGGCGGCGGCGGCGGCTTGCTGCTCGCGCTGCCCAGAGCCGGGGCCGCGGCGGACGGCGCTGACGCTGCGGACCGAGCCGGGCGCGGAGCCGCCCGAAGTCCCGGACGCGGCGGGGATGAGCTGGCGGCTGCCCGGCCGGAGCCGCCTCCAAGCGCGCGGCGTTCTGCTGCCGCTCCGGCGAGAGCGAGCGAGCGAGCGAGCGAGCTAGGGAGCGGCGGCCAGCCCTGCTCCGGCTCCGCGGAGCCCGGCGTCCGAGCCGAAGGGAGCGGGCGAGGCGGCTCTGGGGAGCGGGGTGCAGCCGGGGGCTCCGGGAGGGGAAAGGAGTGGAGCGGGAGCCGACTGGCGAGCGCAGCCGGCCGAGATGCGGGCGCCTGGCGGCGCCGCGGCAGCGGCAGCGGCAGCGGCAGCAGCAGCAGCAGCAGCAGCAGGAAAAAATGAGAGCGAGCGAGAGAGCGCGCTGGAGAGCGAGCGAGAGACAGGGGGAGCGAGGAAGACGCTGAGAGGGGAGGCTGCGGGAGGGGGCGGGAGCGCCCGGGAGCACGAGGGGGCGAGGGGACCGCAGCCGCTCAGCCCCCGCGCCCACTGCCGCTGCCGCACTCGAGAAGGCGCGAGCCCAGCCCGGCAAGTTTGCGCTGCAAGTGCGGGCCAAGCGCGCGGCGCTTCCGCCGGCCTTTTAAAGAGAGAGCACCTGGGAGCCCACCTCCGACCCCGCACCTTCGCCGCGGGAAGGCCGGAGCTCTCCAAGGGCCCCTCCACCCCGCCACACCCGCCCCGCGGTCTTTCCCCGCTCCCACCACGCCCCACCGGCGCCCTCTCCCGGAAGCCCCCTTCCTTGCCCCCTCCCCCCACCCTGCGGGTGTCAGCTCAGCCACCCCAGGACGTGGCGGGCGGGGCCCTCCTGACTCCAAAGGTCGAGGGGCAGGCGACACAGCCTCCGACACACACCCTGAGAAGTACAGCAAAGCACTGCGATGCGAAGGGGTTGCGCTCCTCCCCACCCCCGTGCGTCACTAGAACCCCCACCCCCAGGGCCTCTTCTCACACATCCGCATGCACGTGGCGTGTGCCCCCATGTGGCATGTTCATTTGCACGCCCCACCGCTCCTGGTTCGAGCATACCACGCGGGGGGAAACTGAGGCTCAGTGAGGCAATTGCACTTGCCCCCAATCTCACAGCCTGTCAGGGAGGCCCCTTTCCGCTGAGGCCCCAGAACCCCGCCAGGCTAGGGGAACCCCCAGCCCATGGCCCACAGCCTGCTCCTCTCTCTCCAGCACTGGTTTGCAAAGTGTAACAGGTGGCCAGGCGGGCAGGCTAACACAAGCCCAGGAGGGAATCCCTTAACCCGGGGGAGAGGCTGGAGCCCCAGCTCTCCTCCTTCCGGGTGGGGGGGGGGAGGGCTTGAAAAAACTCGTGGGGGAGGTCTGGCCTTAGAGGCAGACTGAGGAAGAAGAGAGGGAGGGAGCCATTCAGCCCTCTTAGGATTACAAGAGCATCTCGTCCCAGACTGCAGAAGCGGCTTCAATTAGAGCTGTGACGTGTGACTGTCCTTGTCCCGGGGAGGGTGTGCTGCACAGTGTCAGGGAGCTGGGGGGAGAGTGGCTCGCAGTGGCCTTCCTCCCCATCAGTACCTCAGTCCTCCTGGCTGATGTGCAGAGTGCCACCCGGTGCTCAAAAGTGCCTAGGTCAGGGGGGACCCACCACCCCTCTTACCACCCCACCCCTAATTTCCGCAGACAGCACCCTTATGGGTCAAAGGAATGTCTGGGGATAGCAGGAATGACCCTCCCCCCTACTGGTCTGCCCCTTCTCCCTCCAAGCCCCTTATCCAACACCCCTGCCCCTTCCCAGAGACCCACTCGGGCACCCCCTCCTCCAGTATCCCAGACTATGCCAGGCCAGGACCACAACTGGTTCACCATGGCTCATCCGGTGCCTGGCACGATGCCTGTGAGCTCAGTGAATGTTTGGTGAATGAATAAATGTTGGCAAAGCCTGAACTCCCTTTGCTGACATATGTAATGGCCCCAAATACATGTCTCATTTACCCAGTCAGACTGAAGCCTCTGATGGAAGGGCCTGGATCATGCATTCATTCATGCCTTTTTTTTCTTTCTTTCTTTTTTTTTTTTTTTTTTTTTTTTTTTTTAACACAACCAGCACTGGCCAAGATCCTGTTCCATTCCCAGCCCTGGGAATACACAAATGACTGCACACCATCCTGCCCTTGAGGAGTGCAGCCCGTGGCCACCCACACCTCAGCACGGCGCATTTTACAGAGACTTAAGCTAAGGCCACAAGAGTGTGCGTTCCTCTGGGCGTGCAGGACAGTCAAGTCACTCCTGGGGAGGCCTCGTCCCTGGGAACAGCCTGCCTGGGTCCTCCTGGCCAGGGTGCCTCAGCTTCCTACCCATAGAACAAGGACCGTGATGCTGACCTCAGAGCAGGGCTGGTGTGCAAGAATAGGAAATGCTGGGAGGCTCAAATCCAGCCTCCCTCAGGCTTGACAAGTGACACGTCCTGTCTTGAGGCTATGTCTGCCTAAAAGGGGGTCCTCTGTCTAACTCACGGAAAGTTAGCTACGGGCCAGGCCGTCATCAAAAGGGAATAAAAGAATGTACGCACAGCACCCAGTCCTGTGTTTACATGCCAGTAAGTGGGAGCCACTACGGTTTTTAACACAGGATATTGTCCTCAATATCCTTTTATTTAATTAGTCAATTAATTAATTAAACTGAAAATAAATGGGCCACGGTTTATTGAGAACCCAAACCAACCCAGCCATTCTCCCCACTCCCTGCCCCTCAGTGTTGCCTTCACTCTGGCCATAATTATCCTGCCCCCCCGCCCCCCACCAGCTGTGTCGCAGAAGGCTGGGCAGGCTATATTTTTCAGGGGTTAAAAAAAGAAACGCTGTTGGCTGGCAGATGGCTGGGTTTGTGGACTCGTCCAGTGTGAAGGTACTCAGCCTGAAGGCCTAGTTCTTCCGGGCAGCCGTCCTGGGCCACTCCGGGCCTCCCCGCCTCTGAGTGGTCAGCCGCCCACGCTCACCTGTGAGCCCTAGCTTGAGCCAGCTTCTCCTGCCGACTCCTCCCTCCTGCTGACTTTGGCTGACTTGACTTGTCATGGAGACTGACACAGAAACACAGACACATACATAGAGATACATTCAGATACACACACACACACACACACACACACGTATACAGACGCACTCACACGGGCACCCTCAGACACAGCTAAACACGCGGACATACAGATACACACACGCCCCTCCAGGAACTTCAATTGGTGTCCCCTGCCCCCGGGGTTGCTGGGGGCATCCTGGGGAAACAAGGGAGCTACAGAGCCACCTCTGTAGGTGAGTGATCAGCAGAGGGGTCAGGTCACGAGAGCCCTGGCCCAGGCCGGGTGGTGCAAGGGCCTGACTTCCCAAATGCCCTGTTCAGCAAGCTGTACCCTGACTGGGAGGCGCCCAGGTGTGGGAAGGGGGGCGCAGGGCTGGAAGCAAGAGGCTAGGTCCTTGGTGCTCATACGGTGTGGCCTGGGGCAGTCAGGCCCAGCCTCTCTGAGCATTGGTTTCCCCATCAGTGAGAAGAGGCGCTGGGCTCAGGTTTCTCTAAGGATGCGGGATTCAGGGTTGGGTCTCTTTCTGAAACCCTTAAAGAGGATGACCTGATTGACACTCGTGGGGTAAACACGGTGGTCATTCTAATCCACCAGTCCCACCAATCCCATGTGCACACGCTTACCCGGAGATGAGGAGACACCATTTTCGCACTGGGGGGACAGGGGCTTGGGGGAGGGGAAAGAGGTGGTCAGTCCTAGAGAAAATGATAATACAAATGTTTTGTTTTTTTGTTTTTTTTTTCAACGTTTATTTATTTATTTGGGACAGAGAGAGACAGAGCATGAACGGGGGAGGGGCAGAGAGAGAGGGAGACACAGAATCAGAAACAGGCTCCAGGCTCCGAGCCACCAGCCCAGAGCCTGACGCGGGGCTCAAACCCACGGACCGCGAGATCGTGACCTGGCTGAAGTCGGACGCTTAACCGACTGCGCCACCCAGGCGCCCCGATAATACAAATGTTAACGCAAATAAAAATACACTTTTTTTTTTAAGTTTATTCATTTATTTTGAAAGAGAGAGAGCGAGCAGGGGAGGGGCAGACAGAGGAGACAGAATCCCAAACAGGCTCTACGCTGTCAGCACAGAGCCCAACGCAGGGCTCAGACCCACCAGCCATGAGATCATGACCTGAGCCAAAACCAGGAGTCGGACGCTTAACCAACTGAGCCACCCAGGCCCTGTGCTTCATAGCTTTTTGACCTGGAAGTTCTTCCTGAAGTCTGACCTCACTCCCTCGTGCTGCAGCAAATCCTTCCTTCCAGCTCTTATTCTGATCTCCCTGGTAAGGGAAACAACTTCCCCGCCCCTTCCCACCCCCCGCGTTTGGCAACTCAAACCCGCCGAGCTACTCCTACGAGGATGTCTCCATTTCCAAAGAATCCTAATAGGAGAGGGCAGCTGCCTTTGAAAATCCTGAAGTTTAGAATTTGTTGAAATACATCAAAGTGAACTTGAAGGCGCAGGGGCCAGGGGAGAGCCCGGCAGGCTTGGAATACCTAATAAAGGGTCCCCATGTTGCGGTGACCCAGCCACTGTCTCAACCTCAGCGTCTGATGGGTCTCAATTTGGGTTTCCCCTAAACCAGGCCATTAGACGGAAACGCCTGTGATGGGGGAGTTGGTTTAAACAATAATGGCGAGACATTTCCAGGATGAAAAGCTGACTGCAAGAGAAGGCAATGGCTCCGTGCTCTCTGGAGACTCATAAGTCACTTTGCAGGCATGGAGGAGTTGTGGAGAGCTGGGGTCAGAGGACGGGACCTGGGGTTAAGAATCCTGGGGTCAGTCATTCCTACTCTGCGTCCCATGGTCACACCAGCCCTTCTCCTTTGCCCCACGGAGATACTGAGTGTCAAGGGCCTGGGCACTCTGAAGTACCCCCAGCCTGGGCTCTGGGACAGGCTCCTGACACTCC